TAATTAATGCCTTAATTTGACAAAGTCTTGACAATCTTGTGTGTTTTTTTATCTCTATCCACAGCCGTCTGTCCTCCTTGATTGACCTCAATGGGTGGAAACTAATCCAACCATCCAATTGCTGCAGCCTTGCTGCCCTAGACAGGATCATTGGCAAAAGAAAAGACTTTATTACTTGTTATTTTTATTTTACTAGTGTGATTATTTTTTGTTTAGGTGAAATGAAGTATGAAATTTTCAATTTAAATTAAAAATTACTACTAATCTGCATAAAATTTTAGTATGTAGTACGTTATATGTTAATCATCGTTTTAGCTTGTTTCATGGATCCATTAGCTGCCTAACCTATCATCTTATTGGACCTTCTCTTCCTATTAGGACCAGAGAGCTTGAGGGACAGACAATGGTGAAGGATCCATCATTGATTTCGAATTCCAAGTTAATCCCTGAAAGCGAAACATTTGACGCCACACCGAGCTGGCCTTTTTTGCCATCAAGGAGGGACCAAGTAGTTACTGACTTTTCAAAAAATTTATTTAAATTCTTCCAGTAGGTGACCAACTAAGCCCATGGTTTTTGCACCAGGAACCCCAGATGGACTAGTAATGTGTAGAAAATTTTTGATTCATATTAAAATTTAAGTTCTCATAGAACACAATTGTAATATTTTTTTTCTTAAAATTTCTCTTATTCAAAAAGAGCAAAGAAGAAAAAAAGAAAAAAAGAAAGCCCATGATTTTTGGTTTGGGCCTGCAAGTAGTTACCATCAAAGTTGTCAATACTATATTGATATATGTATTGGTTTTGCTATTAAAACGGTACATCTCAGATATTGAAATTTTTTGCGTACCGTTTCGGATTTATCGCTATAAATATATATATTTTTAAATTAAATAACAAATTTTAAAATAAGATAAGTGATGCTAATATTTAAAACTATTATATTCCTATAAATTGAAAACAAGTTTAAAATTATCATTTTTAATCCCTCAACTTCTAATATTTGTATATTTTTCGTTCATTCACTTTAAATTAAGGGATTTAAAATGTATATATTTAAACAGATTTAACGAAGTAATTGATAGAAGAACTAAAAAAAATACGAAAAATGGACTAAAAAAATACATAAAAAAGTTGACAAATGAAAATTATGTAAAATATTAAAGTTGAGGACCAAAAAAAAAATTGATCATTTTAAAATTTGAATTGAGTTGTACCAGATAATTTTTGTGTACCAGTTGGTACGTCAAAATATCGACCGATACACCAAAACTTAATTGAAACAGACGAAATTTGATTGAAACGGACGAAATTTGGTTAAAACAAAATTGAATCATAAATCATTTTGATTTAATACAAAAATTAATAGGTACTTACAATATCAATCAGTACACTACAGTATGGTATCAATAACCATGGTTACCATTGCCTTCTCTCGAGTTTAAAAAAAAAAAAAAAAAAGGAAGAAGAAGAAGAAAAGAAAAGATTTTACCATCGAGAAAAGCTGATTTCATTTCTTCTAATGCAACGCGGGACAATCCAAATGATCTAACAATTAAAATATTAAGATTTTTTTTAATAAAATTATTTAAATATAATTAATAAATATATATATAAGCAAGATTTATTTAAATAATTTTATAAAAAATGTTGACATTTTAAATAATAAAACGTTCAGGCTTTTACTTTTTTCTATTTAAGATTATATTGCTCTATTATCTTAAAATAATACATTTTTTAATTTAAAATTTGTAAGAGAATAGTTCATTATTTTTCCCATTTTTAAAAAGATAACTATTTTTTTATTTTAACATTATTATTATTTCTTAATTTTAATTATATATCTTATCATAAAAAGTACTTTTATTTTTATTTTTTAAGGATAAAATATGTAAAAATAGAAATTTTTTTCTAAATCTTTAATTTAAAGATAAAATAAAAAAAAAACACTAATTGGTTTATTTTTCAACACAATACATTACACAACATACTTATTAAAAAATTTTGTTTTATAGTCTGAAATTAAAAATGAACAAACTAAAAAATGCAACCAATATTTTAATGGTTGAACTAGATAAGTGTCAAAAAAATATGTGGAACCTACTAATCATTTTCCTATTATAAGATATTTCCCATAAGAGCATGTACAATGAAGAACAATGTAAAAACTTTTTTTGGTATCATATCATCACAATTAATATTTTTTTATATAAATCCATGTTTTAAATATTTAATTCTTAAATAGAACACCTAATAAAAGACCTCATCCAATGCATATATCTAAACAACAAATATTTTACAAAATGATTTGTACATTAAAAATGTAGTCTACCTTATAAATTTATTAAAATATTTTTAATAAAATTATTTTTTATATTATTTTATAAAGATATTTTCATAAATTTATAAGATAGATTACATTTTTAATATACAATCAAAATTGTAAGACATGAAACCTATATCTAAAACACTCAAAAATGATAATACTATTTTATTTAACTCACTTCAAATAAAAAATTTAAATTAAAACATTTTTAAAGAATAAAAATAACAACACCCGACAGCAAATTTCCAAATGACAAGAAATCATAAGAGAGCTGGTCTGCTCTCTTTTGAAAAACTCTCAAATGAGAGAGAACAGTACAAAGGTTCTGCTTTTGTTTTATTTTTAATGAGGACAATAGAAAAAAAATAAGAGAACAATAGAAGAAAATTACTATTGTACATCCTCTAACATAAACTCCCTGAGCAAAATGTCAAGAAATTAAGGATCTCTATTTTGGACCAACCTTGCAATTTCAAAATTGGGCTTTAGTTCCAGCTCAATTATGATCGGAGACAGGAGCCTACACACCTTGAATTTGGAAAAAGTCCTTATTCCTAGGATTCAAAGTTAATTCTCCTATAACTAGTGGTGATACCAA